GTAGACGATGTACTGTATGTTTTACAGGAACTAACAGACAACTTGACCAATGCTTATCGTATATTAATTCATTCCATAGTCATATTGAATTCAAAATGGAAACAGAACAAAATTAATCTAACTTTCTAGATTTAACAATTATCAGACTTAAAAACAAACATGAGTTCTTCGTATTTCATAAACCTACCCATACTGACACGACTACACACAATTCATCATCTTATCCTACAACACATAAATTGGCAGCGTACCATAGGGTAAGGGTAATTTCATTTGACATAAAATTCTCATGTCAAAAAACAACTTCGAGATAGAATTCAATATCATCAAGCAAATAGCGATAGTCCACTATTGTTCAATCTGATTATGGATGAAATAATAAAAAAAGTAAGAACTAAAAAAGAACTAAATAACAAATGGGAGAAAAACAACTTAAAATAATTTTCTATGCAGACGACACAATACTACTTTCTCAAAGTGAAGATGATTTACAACGTATACTGCACCAATTTAATATAAATGCCAAAAAATACAACATGTTAATTTACCCAAAAAAAGACAAAATGCATGGTTATAAGAGCAAATTTAGTAAGATGTAAATTGGAGCTGAAAGGTCAGATAATAGAACAAGTGATGGAGTTTAAATATCTAGGCATCACATTATATAGCTACAGAAAGCTCGAAACTCACGAAGTGGAAGATCAATTGCATAGAGCAAACAGAGCCACAGACTGCCTCTATGAAACAATATGGAGAAATAAAAATATCGGTAAAGAAACGAAAGGTAGAATTTACAAAACAGCAATTAGATCAATAATGACATACGCGGCAAAAAAAAGACCTGACACAGAGAGGACAAAATGGATGTTAGAAACAGCAGAGATGAAAACTCTTAGAAAGTGTTTTCTCTATCGGACAGAGCTGAAGGTACAGATATACGACGTAGATGTAAGGTAGAGAACATCCAGAACTGGGTAAGAAATAAAACAGTAGAATATGACGATCATATAAGCAAGAATGACAACAAATAGAATAGTAAAGACGACAAGAGACGTTCTCCAATAGAAATACGATCAGTAGGAAGATCACGAAAACGATGTAAGGACAACTTACTGCCTATATAAAAAGAAGAAGAAGAAGAAGAAATTATCGTGGAGAAAAATAAACACAACTCAGAAGGATCTGGCAGTGCTCTAGAGCTTTGTATGATAAAACCAAACAAAGTTCTCCATTAGGAAATAGAGATGGAAGCTGAACAAAAAGCAATTTAGAGAAACGCTTATCAATTTTTTGAAAATCTCGAGAAATCGTTTCAGATAAATGAAGGTGAAACACACTTGAGTGAGAAAACGTCACACAGGACGAAGATGAAATTAAACTAGTCACTCCAAAAGAAATCCTCAACAAAATTAAAGAAAACATGAATCCCAGAAAAGCACTAGGGTTTGATTTAACTGGGTAAATCTTAAAACAACTATCTAGAAAAGTTATAGTAAAGTTGACATATCTTATAAATGCTTCGTTCAGGTTAAGATATATTCCCAAGGTATGGAAAGCAGCAGACGTCATAATGACCCTTAAACCGAGAAAGCAACCAAATACAGTATTACCGTACATGCCGATTGCCTTACTACCCTAATTTCGAACCAATACGAGAAACTCTTGCTGTTAATGCTGTAACCTCAAAAAGACACTAAGGCTCTAATTACATCACACCATTTTGTGTTTCGAGAAAGTCATTCAACTATTGACCAAGTCCATAGAATAACGGATATAATAGAGAGGTCACTAGAAAAAAAAACAGTTGGCTCTGTAGCGTTCTCCGACGGGGCACAAACTTTTGATAACGTATGGTACGAAGGACTTAATATAAATTAAGCAGAATTTTGCCAAGTAAAGAAACAGAAATATTGGAATCATATATTTCAGATAGAGTTCTGGCTAAACAAGAAACAGCCCACTCGAAATTAAGGAAATCAATGTAGGCGTACCACAAGGTAGTATGATAGGACCAGCCCTGTACCAATTATACACTAGGGATCTCTCTGAATTGGATCATAACACAATGATACTGCCGTATTGGTCATATGTGAAGATCATGAAGACACAACAAGAAAATTACAAACGACTTCTTCAACACGTCAATGTTGAGGACATCCAGGATAAACAACACGAATCTGGCTAAAAGACGTAAGAAGAAAAATCCCTTCGAGTTGGTTAAGTGAAAAGCATAGTTTCGTGCAAGTGATGGTACAGAATCTCAAGTCCCAAGTTATTAATAATAATTTAGGCTAGAAAAAGTTGCTTATTGGTCATATTGTTTGATTAGATTTTAAACATTTTAAGCAGCTTACTGGTGCAGCATAATGTCAATTAAGACATACCCTGGTGCAGATATATCATCTAATCATAATCCACTAGTTGCAAGAATGAAAATAAAACTAAAGAAAATTAATAGCACAACCCCCAAAAAAGCAGTTGATATCAACAAATTACGAAAACCAGAAGTAAGAGAACAGATGATACAAGAAATTGATGAAGCAGTAACAAAGATACAACCCATAAAAGACAACACAAAAGTGAACATCAATGAGAATTGGACAGACATTAAAACAGCGTTAATGAAACCAAGCATAAGTCACCTCCATAAAAGTAAAGAATATAAAAAAGAATGGATGACAGATGAGATACTGTACTTAATGGATAAAAGAAGAAAACAGAAAAACAAAAAGAACTAGAAGTATAAAGAGATACAAAAAGAAATTCGTCTAAAAATACGCACAGCTAAAGAAAACTGGTATAGGGAAAAATGCGAAGAAATCGAACAACTACAAAATAAACACGACAGCTTTAATGCACATCGGAAGATCAAAGAGTTGACGAGGAGACAAAGTAACAGACACAACATATTAGTAGACGAGAGTGGAAACATTATTATGGACACAGAAGAAAAATTAAGAGTCTGGAAACAGTACATAGAACAACTGTTTAAAGATCAAAGAGACAATGTAGATAACGAATACATAAACAGTGACACAGGACCAGAAATAACAAGAGATGAAGTGGAATACACGATTAAAGAAATGAGGTCGGGGAAGGCTACAGGCCCAGATGAACTACCAATAGACATAATTAAACTCATCAAAGGCAACAACTTAATAAAGATCGTGGAACTATTTAACAGCATTTACAAATCTGGTATCATACCTAATGAATGGCTAGTAACAACAATAATAGCCGTACCCAAAAAGTCTAATGCGAGACAATGCTCGGAACATCGCAGCATCAGTCTCATGTGTCATATATTAAAGGTCTTCTTAAAAATCATTCATCGGAGAATATATAAAAAATTGGAAGTTGACATCGGACCCTCTCAATTTGGCTTTAGAGACGGACTAGGAACTAGAGAGGCACTGTTTGCTTTTAATGTTTTAACACAACGATGCTTAGACGTAAATCAGGACATATCTGTGTATTTCCTAGACTATAACAAAGCATTTGATACAGTAAAACATAGGCCACTGATGCAAATACTGGAAAATAAAAATATTGATACAAGGACATGCGAGTGATAAGGAATCTATACTACAAACAAGAAGCTACAGTACGAATTAACAGCTCGATATCAGATAGAATACAGATCAAAAGAGGTGTTCGGCAGGGCTGTGTGTTGTCTCCAACCTTGTTTAATGTCTACGCGGAAGAAGTTATTAAAAAAGCTCTTATGTACGAAAAAACCGGAGTAAAGATCAACGGTCACCCCATTTGCAATATCCTACAGAGCAACAGAGATTACTAAACAAAGTGGTAGAAGCAAGTGAAGAATTTGGTCTGTCACTGAATACAAAGAAGACCAAATTCATGATAATTACAAAGAAACGTATCAATAATATCAACTTACATGTAGGACATAATCTCATTGAACGAGTACAAAATTACAATTACCTCGGAACAAATATTAACGAGTCAAACGAATACACCAGAGAAATAAGAATAAGAATAGAGAAAGCCCGCAGTGCCTTTAACAATATGAAACAAATGTTGTGTAGCCGAAACCTAAGCCTAAAGCTGAAAATACGAACGCTTAAATGTTATGTTTTCTCGGTCCTTATATATGGGGTGGAGGCGTGGACACTAAATAAGCAATGTATGGGTAAGCTGGAGGCATTTGAGATGTGGGCGTACCGAAGAATGTTAAAAATCTTCTGGAAGGATAAGATAACTAACCAAGTTGTATTAGACAGGATGAACAAACAAAAGGAGGTCGTATTGAGTGTTAAAATGAGGAAACTACAATACCTGGGACATATTACACGTGGGAATAAATATCAACTGTTACAACTAATTATGCAAGGAAAGATTGAAGGTAGGCGCAGCATAGGTAGGAGAAGAATGTCATGGTTGAGAAACCTCAGGGAGTGGTTTGCTTGCACTTCCATACAATTGTTCCGAGCGGCAGCCTCCAGGGTCAAAATTGCCATGATGATAGCCAACCTTCGTAGCGGAGATGGCACGTGAAGAAGAAGAAGACTGGTGTTTATTAAATATTTTTTTTAATACTAAGATGTTTTGCAAACAATTAACAATAGTGAAAACGTACATATAAAAATATTATGCTTTTAAGATTTGATTTGCATATCAAAATCTGTTTTTTTAAGGGGATAATTAATTTGAATCCCAATATTTTCCCCTAAAGTACATAAAAATGACACATTATATTCATAAGTTATTAAGAAAAGTAGGGCGCAGTAAGAACTCATTGGGTGACCTTTCCATTACAAGTTTATACCACTTCATACGTTATGTACTCTTACACTTGTCCCTCAAAATATTCGCTGAAACCACAGAAAAAACTCGGCTAATCTCAGGATTATAACCCATTTTAGCAATCGATCTGGTAAATATTAATTCAATTAAGGACCTGTAATCGACTGAGATGGCACTTGAAGGGTTTTTGTATTTTTATTTGCCTCTTGTTATCTATCATATTCAGTCTATAAGTGACTTAGTGACATTGATGTGATCTTGGAGTGATGGCTTGAAATGTTTGTGCTCGGAGCACACTATATTCAATAAGTAAGTTACTCCGATCAAACGAGATAACAAAAAAATATTGGTAACGAATATATCTAAATCATATTTATTTGTGAGTAGTGAAATTGTATCTGGTATAAGTTGTATCAACCACACAAAAAGAACAAAATCGTTTAAAAATATCATAAAAAGTAATATTGTTTAGAGTTCAATTGTTACTGTCCTAACATGAACTACTGTTACTTTTGCTTAATTTTTTTAATACGCAAATTGCCTGCTCAGCCCTCGCTATTTTTTAAATTTGTTTTTTTTAGGTTGCCCGATGTTTCTTTGCTCTTTTAATGATGTGTTAACCGTTAATCAAACCCAGGTGCTTTTCTAGGATTGATATTATCTTTAATATCGTTGAGCACTTCTTTTGAAGTGAGTAGTTTAATTTCACCTTTGTCCTGTGTGATGTTTTCTCACTTAGGGAAGGGCGGACAAGATGGCATACTTAGTTTATTGTCCATATATCTGAGACATAAATAGAGATAAATCATTTCTTTTGATATATAATGATAGCCAGGTCATTTTTCTACTATTCTAAGTAACAAAAAATCACTCATACAAAGAGATTTATTAAAAAAAAATCAAAATCAAAATGTAACAAAAAACCATTTTGCCCGCCCAGTGCGGGCAAAATGGCATACACATAAAAAATAGTGTTAAATACAAAAATAATTATAAATTTTTATTTTTACGATGAAAAAAAATTGAAATTAAACATTTTAGTTCATACAAAGTTCGCAAATAAATTTTTTTGCTTTTTTGGGAAGTCCAGCACATTCTGAATGTGACCAGTTTTGGCAAATTTGGCATCTTAATCATTCTTCATTAGATTTAGACCTACTAAACGTATCATTCCAGTAAATGCAAGCGCAGTTCTCTTGTTCATCATCATCAATACTAAAGGGTGCTTCTTCATCACTTGATATATTGTTCAGTATTGGTCTGGTCACAATATTTCTCTTGCCTTTTCTCTCCAACTGATGTCTATCTTTGTTCACAATGCGTCTTCCATCACTTAAATCATTGACTATTTTTCTTTTCACGACGTCCCCTTTTCTGCTTTTTATTTCTTGTGCTTTTTTTTTATTTTCTTTTTCGCAGAGATATTTCAGGAAGGGGCTCTCGGTTAATACATCTTGATATTGACCAGATTTACGTTTGGTCGATTTTCTTAGAGGAACATTAACATCAGCAGGTAAAGATGTAGAAGCAATGTCAGGTTTATTAGTAGAACCAGGCAGAGTGTAGAACCAGGTAGAGTGGTCCGAAAAAGGCAACATCCAATGGCTTAAGGCGGTGCGTGCAGTGTGCCGGCAGACAAAGTAATACCACTAAATTCTGTTTAGCTAATTATAAAGCTTCGTAGCTTTTATAACTGGAGTGCCCTTCTAAAATTAATAATGCTTTCTGCGCAGGATTCGGCCTGACATGGTCAATAAAATGTTGTATCCACCTTATGAACAAATCTCCTCATGTATCCTGATTCATTATGCAATTTTAATATTCCTATAGGTGCGCCGTCATATAAAAGTGGGTTAAATCTTTTTCGGGGGAAAATTATTGATGGTGATACATAAGTTCCTCCAGAACTCATGCACACTACAACTGTTGTGTGTACACCCCTTTCTGCGCTCGTGATAGAGCCCACTTATTTTTTTCCTTTCTGAGCAAAGACTTTTGGCGGAACTTGGACGGTGGTCAAGGCTGATTCGTCCATGTTGAATATCATAGTATTTTGAACGGGATTCAAGATACAGAATGTGGGCAACTATTGCAGTCTGCATATCTTCGTTTAAAACTGTTGCCAGGACGCCCAAATGTTTTTTTGCTTCAATGGCAATTTTATTTTTATTATCTGCTCGACGTTATAGTGTTGAGAACGGTACATGAAATGTATTGCTTGCTTTAAGTCAACCCATTTCGGAATTTCGGATTGTCTCCAAAGCTCTTTGCATGTCTTCCTCACTCCAACTATTTTGGTTAGACTTCCTTTTATATAAATAAAGCATCTGCAAAAAAAACTATATATGTACCTTAACCTGAAAAACAGACGGGCAAAATGGCATAGTATGTTATTTTGCCCGCCATAATGCTATGCCATTTTGCCCGTTTTGTATTTGCCGACTAATGATAGTTGAAAAAAATTAATAATGGAAATAAACATAATTTTTATTTAAGGTCACATGCAGCGTATAAAACATAATTACCAAAAAGTGAATTCAAAAAGCTCTATAACCTTAATTTAATAAATTATTGAATAAAACTTACATTGACGCATCGAACTCGACCAGCACTTATTCACAAATACACCAATCTCGTGGCCGGCCGTTAAATTAGGTGCACGAGACTTAATGTGGACAGTGTTGCCACTGTTTATAATAAGTATCCAGAATTGCGGTGACGTAGAACCGTTAGGTTGACTACGAGAACAAAAAACCATTTTGCCCGCCTATGCCATTTTACCCGCCCTTCCCCTTTACAGTATTGTGCAAATTAATGGAATTATTGTGACATTTTTTAATATACCAACTTAACAGTTGGCAACACTGTCCATAAATTTACAACTGACCAATCATTGAAAACATAACCTTACTTTTCTCTGCATTTTATTTGAGGGTGTTTTAGGGTATTTCCCACTAAGTTTTTGTTGTTTTGTACTATTTTGTGTTGTTTTCGGTAATTAGTGAGTTTTTTCGTTTAGTTACATCATGGATATTACGTCTAAGAAGCATGAAAAGATTATCACGTTAAGTGAACACACTTCTATGTCACAAAGAGAAATCGCAAGAACGTGTGGAGTTAGTCAGAGGGTAGTAAGCAAGATTTTGAAGAGTAAACGAGAAACGGGATCAATCGATAGATGTGAAACTGTTAGGAACATGTTGAAGAAAGAAAAAAACAATACTAGCAGATAAAAGATTTTTATTTCGAAAGAGCAAATTGGATCCAAGAAAAACAAGCCAAGAGTTTCAACAACATCTATCAGCATTAGGTGTAGTGATTCATGACTCAACTGTTTGAAAAAGACTTAGAGAATGGTAGAAGGTTAATGCGTCCACAGAAAAAAACAGTTTTTTTTTACCAAACAAAGGCATCATGAACAAAAAAAATACAAATCCATGTTGGAACAGCATTTGGACACATAACTCCGGAAGTATCAGCCCCAAGGAGGAGCAATTCTTCAACAGGACTCTGTTTCCTGTTATAAGTTAAAGCAAATGATGGATTTTTTAAAAATAAGAAGAATAATGTTTTAGATTGGCCCAGTAATTCGCCAGACCTCAACGCCAAACTGCACAAAATCGGCTATAATACAAAAATAAAAATTGTCAGTGGTCATTCAGGTTTGGTTTCGAGATGAAAGGATATCTGGGAACAGTCAGAAGCTCATAGAATCTATGCCAAAACGGATAAAGGCAGTAATTGCGGCCAAAGGAGAACATATTTGCTACTTACATATTTCCTGATGTAAGTTTACCTTAATAGTTTTGTCAAAATATAATTTTTGTTTAAATATACTGGTTTTTCATTAAAACAGACTATGATTCCATTAATTCGCACAGTACTGTAAGTATGTTATGATCTTCATTTGGCTAAAATGTTTCCTCGAAATATTTAAAAAATTTATTAGCCTTCTCTAAATTGCTTTTTGGCCAGCTTCCATCTGCATTTCTTAATGGATACCTTTGTTTGATTTTATCTGATAAAGCTCTAGAGCACTGCCAGATCCTTCTGAGTTTTCTTTTCTCCAAGATAAGTTTTCTAATTTCTTCTTCTTCTTCTTATATACAGATTGAACGAATTTAAAACGGATCATATAATTTAATATATGTCTGTTTGAACTGCATTTGAAATAGTGGACCAATATAAAACTTGGACGAAAATAAATCCATACCTGGGTATAGACAGTGTATAAAATATCGTTCAACTATCTGTCTCGCAACAATGCTACAATGTTGTTTTCGTAAAGGAAGCGATAATAGTTCAGGAAATGAAGCTCGAAAAAAGTTACTTCGCAATTTTTTGGTCCTGCATGCATTGAGTTGAAATTTTAACAGAAGGTAGGTGATAGCCCAAGGATCAAAATCTATATCGAACCGAAGTGCGCTGAAGGGTTTTAGGGGTGAAAACTACCCCTAATTGTCAAAAATTATAAAATAACATATTAAACCTGAATATGGCTAAGATTTGGTTTGAATTAGTTAAATAATGATTATTTTATACTTTTGAATAGAGTTCCATCATATTTCAACCCTTGTTAGAGATTAATGTAAAAAAATTACTAATTCTAAAAAATGATTTCGCTTTGGATCGATTTGGATAAAAATTTTAATTTAAGCTCAATTCACCCACTGCTTTATAGTTTATGTCATGTCGACGAACCCTGATTGTTCTTAGTGATGAAAATTACCCCTAGTTGTCAAAAATTATAAAATAACATATTAAACCTGAACATGGGTAAAATTTGGTTTGAATTAATTAAATAATGATTGTTTCGTGCTTTTGAATAGTTCCATAGTTGAATAGTTGAAGTTCCATCATATTTCAACCCTTAAAAAGCGACCCTTGTTAGAGATTAATGTAAAAAAAGTAGTAATGCGAAAAAAATGATTTCGCCTTGGAACGATTTGGATAAAAATTTGGAATTGAGGACCTTGCTGCAAGAAGGGGGCAGCTCCATTTATAGTAACTTTTGGGAAAATAAAAAAAACGTTTTATAAAAATTTACTCATGTATTAATTACAATAAAGCAGTTTCGTTAAAAGATAATCATATTGGTACACCTGTCAAATTTTTCCTTTATTTATATAAGCTTCCTTTTTCAGAAAAAATGCAAAAAAATTTGGAGCTGCCCCTCTCTTGCACCAAAATGACAAAAAAATGGTATCCATTGTAGTTATTATTGGAAAATAAAGAAAAAGTTACTGCAAAATCTGTTTATTATTATTAAAAATTAACAAAAAAACGTTTTTTCTTTTATATTCAAACAG